TCTTTGTCGAATAAGCTCATTTTATGTATAAAGTCAAAGAAATAATCTGCAACAATTATAGTGCCCTTCAGACATATTCCTCGATTAGTTAGAATCAATCTAGTTATCAGATTATGGGAATCATCGAGTGATGTGTTGATGCAAATGAGCTACACAATGAAGTATCATTGTAGGTAAAAATGATAAACGAATGCAAAAGAATCAGTTGAGTAGTCCGCAGCGTTTGTTGCTCGATCAACATAGTAGCTTCTATGTCATTAATTACGAGAATAATTGAGTTGAACGATTTTTGATCGCAGAAATCAATTGATTATGGAGAGTGAATATTGATGAGTATTTCTTGACTCCTGAAATAAACACAATCCGATTGACTATGAAATAAGAGTGACTCTCTAAGATCACAGCGGTGGGACTAAATTGATGTATAATAAACAGAAAAAAGCCTACATGAGCCATATCGTGTTAATTCTCGGTTGCATGTCAAAGTATAACATTGTGCATTTAACGACCGGAAAACCGTTTAAATTTAAATCCGATAAATAAAAGGGTTTTGTTTAGAGACAAAATGCCAATTTTCAGAATCTAACTAAATTTCAATTTAATATTTTATCACTGACTATTTACTTGGCCAGCGAATATTATTATATACTTCTTTTTGTAGTTGGTCACCAAACTTGCCCATAATGGTGAATATATGTACCATTTGTAGAAAAAAAAAGAAATGATTTTTCTTAGAGTCGAGTGGATTAGATCATTCAACGCTTAGTAGAACTCTGTCACATAGATGAAGAGCTTTACAGGCTTTAACATTGGACAATGATTCATTCTCTATTTGTAATAAAAGTTTTGAAGTGTTTACTTTTATCATAGTGGAACTGTAGGTCTTATAATGGAAACAAAATGAAATATAGAATTTCGAAAATATCTTGTGTCATGTGCGACAAAAAGTTTAGGATAATTCAAATGTGAAAGTTGCGTACAAGTATTTTATACACAGTATGTTACTGGATATAGATAAAAAAATCAATGAAGAATTTGATGAAGTTATTATCGAATACGACACTCGTCTACAAATAATTGTCAAAAGTAAAAGAAAAATATTAATGCCTGACTTCACATATGAATCAAAGGTAACAAAGATCAATAGATAAAATTTGATAAAAAGAAAAACAAACTTCTAATTAAGTCTCTGAAATTAGAAGTTCATGTAAAACTGATTTATTTTTTGAGTGATGAAATCTGTGTCCTACTTTAAAATTCTATATGTCTAAAGAATTGGTGTCGCAAGAATTATTTGATTTTGTTAGACGAATAGAAAATGCACATAAAGAAGAACAAACCTTTGAGATAAGATATCAACATCAGTAAAAGGAAGGTAAGAATTGAAAACTGCTTCATTATCAAACCACAGAAAAGAAGGTAAAACAGCACTGTTTATGTTTGAAATTCGAGTCGTTTCATTATTTTCTATAAATGAGATCATTACACATTAGTAATTAAATTCGGGCAAAACTTCGAATGGATTCTGATTTCATCGTTTTTTAATGAAAAATTTGAATTTTGCAATGGTCATGCTAAAATAGAGAAAATTGTTCGTCTAGTAGTGAATAAAAATACTTTTCTTAAAGACACTGATGTTGTAGGAAAACTCATTGATTCATATGTAATCGATATCAATTTCGATGGCAAATAAGAAAAAATACTTCCAGCGCAAGGGCTCCTATTGGCGTGATTTCCAAATTAGAACTGATGTTTACTGATGTATGTTATTTTCCGTCAATTTACGGTTGGACAGACTACGATAGTTTTTTTCCAGCTAATAAGTATCAAAAGACATATCGGACTTACTTCTATCTTCATACTATGAAAAATAAGTCCATTGAACTATTCCTCGATTGTGCTAGAGATGTTCGTCATGAAGTCGCTGTCGTCATGATGGTGACGGCAGTCTTCTCTTTCAACGCTCATTACAAAATTGCATAATTTTGCACCAAATTTCAGTGTCCACAACCATTTCTATGGTAAATATCTATCAACTTTGATTCAAGAGCACACAAAGTACGTTTTATCTATGCTACAAGTTTCTAATAGTACAACATTCCAATATCATCGTAATATTGATAGACTTAATAATATATGAATCATATTATGATTATATTGCTGAATGAGTCATATTCACTTTCGAAATAGAGCGAATTACTTGGCGTTTGTACGGAAATTGATAAACAAAATGAATGAAGTTATTCATATTCGTACAGAAATCAATCAAATGACAAAAACAGTAGCATCAATTTTAGTAATTGGAAAAAAGCATTCGATACTGTTATTAGTACCTTCAAGGTTGTATACATTTTTTATTGCTATTCATACATGGCAAAGCAATAGGGAAATATGCATCTTATGAAAAATACTAATTTTCATGTCGTTATGAGTTAAAGACGAATATATTCAGTGAAAATATTTTAGTCGTGGATTATGGATGTTTTTAAAATAAATATGCACGCAAATATCAAGATACGATGCCTTGTTGGCTTTTACCAAGCTCTACACATGCAAAATTAATAGAGAAAAAACGCATTGGGTTTTTTCCAACATCAAATTGACTTGTTCTTTTTTTTCACTTTTCTACTTCCTTTCGAAATATACCTATAAAAGCAAGCAGTATGTTGTTCTCTTACTTCAATTGCATTGAAATAAGTTATATATGCATTTGAATTTTTGATAGTTGGAAAAATAAAACATCAAATTCTATGGCATCTTTCGAACCTGTTGTCGTGCTTTTTGGTTCGAGCAAAAGTATTTCAACAATAAATTTACGACTTCCAGTTTCATTTATATTCGCTATTGATGAAACATCACTTGAAGAACTCATTACCGTTGATCCACCATTGTCCACTACAATTTTACAACGATATTTTATTATTCTTCTTGAATCGATTAGCAGCAATGTACATGAACGTCTACAAACCAATCATCGTGTTCAAGCCATATATAGTCGAGATATCTTCACAGGTGCATCAAGTCATTCAAAATTATCTCGTATTATCAATAAACAATTGCAACAATTTACACTAGATTTAACAGCAGACATCGTACATTTTTTTACAATCGAAGGCGAAAAACAAGCAAAATTAGAGCGATTAAATTTAGCTCGAGTATACTATCGTCAAGCAAGATTACTAAAAGAATGGGCTATGTCATTTGCCAGAGTATGTTAACGTTATTTAGTCACACTTCTCTTTCGTTAACCTACAATATTTCAGGCTGAACCATGTCATATTTTGCTCATTCCACTGAATAGTAGTCAGGAAAATTTGAACAATGCTCAAGAACGTTTACAAAAACTCTGTAAGTATCAATAATACAACATAGACTATATGGAGACTAACTGCTCTTTTGTTTTTTTCTTTGAATATGTATAGTTTATGTCTAAGATTACTCTAGGCCATTTGGTTTATGTGGTTGTTCTAGTAACAGTACTTGAAAAATAGAATATGATATCTCTTCTTCCATTCTAAAAAGGCTAAAACAGTGGCGAAACATTTTACAAGCAAGATCTTCACCAAGATAATGTGATTATTTTTTACCAAGATTTCTAATTACATTATGGGTATAGATTTATAAGATCTTGACTACAATACATGAGTTCGAATTCTAAAATAGTCTATTTGATGTAAAACTTGACGATGAATATGAATCTGAAGTCAGATTTCTGCGACAAGCAGAATGAGCCATTTTCGAGACTTATGTTCAAATTCAAAAAAACATTCGAAATGGTGGTCATCCTCATGAATATTCTTGAATATGGAAATAGTACAATGAAAGATTTTCAGTAGATCATCCAACTTTTTATTTCTTATCTCATATGTAAATGTTCTACGTTATGAATCCTAATTTTAAACTATAGGTACTAATCTAAATTATCCTTCTGTGATAATTCGAACACTTGATAATTATATTTCTTCAATGGATGAGAAAAGCCCATGTCTTCTTCCATATTCTCATATGCTATTTAATCATGAACATCCACAATATATTTGTGAATTAATTAAAAAATTATCACCATTACGATTATATTTATATGGTAATGAGGAATTTATTTTAAGTGAATGGAGTAATTTAATGATTCATGGTGAAACTAATGTCATGGAAGATGAAGATAATTGGTGTGCATTTATTGAAAATGAATATATTGAAGATGAAATGAAATGGAATATTGGATCTAAGTTCGGAACTAAATGGCAAATTAAAAGAATAGCACCAATTAATTTATCTGAATTAGATAAAAATCTTCGATTTCAATCAGCTCTTCATCGAGCTTTTAAAACATTGAATAATCGTCAAATTGAAATAACAGCAGAAATATTTGATTGGTATGATAGATGTATTCGCGAAGGATATCTTCAATTGGAGGTAGAAAAAAAACAGATTTCCTTAATATCGATTCATAATTTAAGCTATGCTTGATTTTTTTTTACATAGCCTAAAGTATCCACTCAACAAGAAGAAAAACTCGAAAAAAAGAAGTCTTTAGATTTATCGAGATGTGTTGTTCGAAACCCATCGTCATTTGATTATCATGTTACTTCAGACCCGAAAGGAATATCATTTATTTGGCTTGATGAAATAATAAATTCATTAGATAATAATCTTACTCAAATAATTGAACCACATCATTGGTGTTTTTTTAATAATGTATCACAATGTATACCATACATTGAAAATCAATTACGTCAACAAAATGAAATATTTCTTGTTGTATCAGGTTCTCTTGGTTATGAATTATTTCTTACAGCTTATCATTTCATGTCAGCAATTCGATTTGTTTATGTTTATTGTTCTCGACTTGGTATACATGGAAATTGGATAAAATATTATTCTCAAATCCAAGGAGTTTTTAATGATTCTTCGGCATTAGAAGAAAAATTGAAACAAAATTTAGAACAATTAAATAAATCAGAAAATAAAACACAACCACAAACAACAATAAATGTGAGTAAAGAAAATAGATTTTTTTAGATTTGTTTGAAAAACAAAACTGACATAGAAAAGAACATTTTTTAAAGATGATATAAAATAAAATTTCTTAGCGAAATAATACAATATGAAAAGTCGAACAAAGATCCATTCATTTTGTCAGATACTTCAAAATATTCTAATGTTCATCAGGTGGATAAGTGAGGCAAGTTTTTAGTCAAAATCTATTTGTAATTAATAGATCAGGTGATAATCTGAAACATTTCTTGTTTATTTATTTATAAAATATTGCATTCAGTATTCTATCTGATGAGAGTTCTCATCAGTAATGATAAACAATTGGTCTATGACTTTTGACATGTTTTGCTTTTGCTCAAAAATTGAGCATAAAAGTTTTTATTTTCACAGATCAAACTGTTTCGATTAAGTGAAAAATTTATCATAGTACATTTAATATGTTTTATCAATTCGTATTGATATCACGTTAGATTATCGAAAAAAATATGATTAATTATTTAGTATTGCAACTTATCATCGATTCATTTCTATTTTCTATCAAGGAATAGTATATATATATATTACTAACATAAAGTATAACAAAACAAATAGAACGTCGAAATCCGAGTTAATACACTATTGATTAATCGTGTCTATATTTGGTGAATATTTAAACAGTCTACAAAGTTAATATAGAATTTGTAGTCCTATAAAGTTTTCTATTCACTAATAGATGTCAAGAGAGAACAATTTATAAAAAACCAATAGTTGGAAATGCTTTAGTAGTGAAATAAGATACTTACACCATTATTTGTAGTAGTTAGGACGCAGATTCGATTAATCAACGAAATGATTTGACTGTTATAAAATTCTAAAAAATGAAGAATGACTCATGTCAGTATACTAATCGATTCGATTGAGTCGAATCGTTTAGACCGGTATCAATAACAAAAAAACAAATCTATCCATTGAAACTGTGCCGTTGACATAATTAGTTTCTTACTAATTCTATTGAAGTAATAACTTTATAAACTTTGAATTATCTCTTATGATAAATTCTATATATTACATTTAAACAGATTCAGTACGCCATCATAAACATATAATTCATACTAATCTTTAGATTTCTTATGAACCATTTTATGATCAAACATTGGTTTCGCTACCGATACTTGTTTATAATCAAGAACAAGCTAGTGCATTCATGGCTCATCAACGTACAATAGACACTCTTCTTTGTTTACCACATACAAATGAAACACTTAATGAAATGATTGAAGAATTTCGTCGTATGTATAGTGATAATGAAGTAGCACTTGCCGATATTAATATATTTGAACAAACTTATAATCCCAATACTGCTGTTCAATGGTATTCACGTGATTCATTTCTTCATCGTATAATTAATAATGCACTTCGATCAAGTGATGCTGATATGATGTTTAAAATGCGACATTTTCTCATTGATCTTTATATACAACTTGATGGCCTTTATAAAGAATCACATACATTTTATCCTAGATCAATGATAGATAAACTTTATCGAGGTCAAATAATGTCAAAAACTGAATTTGAATATTTTAGACAACTTCCAGGACGAATTATATCAATAAATACATTTTTATCTACAACAACATCATTACAAATAGCTCTTGCATTTGCAAATGTATCGTCAAACAATAATGATTTTACGCGTGTTTTATTTTGTATTGAAACAAATCTGTATGTTCAGCATAAAAGACCATATGCCAATATATCAAATTTTTCAATGTTCAGTGATGAAGATGAAGTTTTATTTGCAATGGGAAGTTTATTTCGTATTCAATATATTGACATATTAGATAGAATCAATAATATTCCTGTGATATATTTACAAATGGTTGATCAAAAAGAAACTGACTATAATTATCTTTCTTAAATATTGAAAACTTTCTTTTTTTTTTCTTTGTGGTTTTCATAGAATAAAAAAAGGTAAATCTAAAAGAAATATTTTATTTTCTTATCCCCGTGTCCAATAATACAAAGATTCTTTTTATTCGACTCCTTGAATATTTGAAAAATACCCACTTATCATATTGACAAGTGCATTGTTATTTACCTCACATGATACGATGTACAACAAGGTAAAAAAAAAAGAAAAAACAAGAAGAAAATATATGGTTTCACATTTAGTGTTGTTTTTTGTTGATCAATAACAATGAAGCTACTATTTTCAACAACACGAATCCCATATTGTCGAGAATCAACTAAAATTTCTCGTAATCTTAATTATCCATTATGGCATTTACAAGATGTTCTATTACCATTATTTCACAAAAGCCATACATATGATAGTTTACGTGAAACAATTGTTAGTGCAAATCATGTTTGGTGCGCATATGAATATGGCAAATGTGTTGGCTGTGCATTGATTACTGATGTTGGATCTAATGGTGGACTTTATATGCTTCTATTTGGGATAAAAAGATCAGAACAAGGTCGTGGAATTGGTAAATATTTATTAGAAAATATTATAAGATGGTCTCGTATACATGGATACAAGTTTATATATTTGCATACAGAACATAATAATACAAAAGCAATTGGAATGTATCAAAAAGCAGGTTTCAGAAAACAATTTTATCAACCTGCTTATATGGAACAACTACCACAACTTGGATCTAATGTTATGTCTATGATATTATTCTTGATTTGAAAAGAAAAAAAAACATTATTTTTATATTATTGAGTTAGGATTAATTGCATCTGTTTTTATCTATCACTACTTTATAAATTTTTAAAAATCTAAAATTTTGAACAACAATAAAACTATATTATTCTTCTTGAAGTGTACGAAATCCTAAATTTTACTTTTTGTTGTCAATGCATCAATATATATTGAGTATGATTAACGATGTAAGTATTTATGAGTATTATCAAGTCATATGATTGTGATTGATGGATTGTAACGATGAATGCTGCAAATTCACAACAGATTATTTTTTTTTCAAACATTTCTCTCCATTTTTACAATATTCGAACAGTATAAACAACTATCAATACTTTTAATAATATTATTTTCTACGAAATGTATGTTTCTGAAATTTTCGAACTTGTCTATGAATTTTTCATTCATTTAGAATTAAGATAAAATAATACTATTAGCATATTGGAAGTAGCAGAGAAAGTCTGTAGATATGAAACTCTATAATTTGTGAAAGACACTTATATCTCCAATAATATTGCTATTCAAGAAAAGTTCTTAGTCATTCAATGATAATTCGACTGTTCTTCTATTATGCATAATTATGAATAAATCCATTATGGAAACGTAACAAATGTATCATTAAATGCCATAAGAATCTGCACTTCAGAACTCATATATCTGATTCAGTAATAATATGTTTTCATATAAATAATATTTCTTCATCGATTTTTAAAAGTGTTGCCAACTATGAAGGTTATAATAATTTAATGACATAAACAAATATGCATATTCGTTGATATCACTAAAAGATAAAATTTTCCATTAGTCGTAGATTTGTTTCGATGGTTATAATAATAAGGAGAATTCTTGGTGCTCAATTTTGCAAAAAGTTACGTTTTGCTACTATTTCTACAAGGGTTGTTGTGCCAAAGCAAAAAATATTAGACTTAGCATCGTTTACTTGATCCTTAAGACAAAATTCGACCTTAAGTATTGCTTATTCTGTTCTCAAGGACGGCAGTAACTATTGAAATTAGACACGTGGGAGAACGACAAAATCAATCATCATTAACATTAAACTATTCTCCCTTTCTTATCAATCAGTATACTACAAGTCATTTTTGTTCTGTTGATGATTCTAACAAATGAAGGTCTCATAAAATCGTTTTCCTGTATTTTAATGAATATCAACACTATCATTCACATGCAAATAAATGTTTTTGTTAAAAACATATTATTACACATTCATCAGGTGTAATATAATACATTGTAGTTAATTACATGAATGAAAGAGTAGAGCTTTTTCCGATATTCAAAATAACTTGAAAACCGGTCTCCTTAAAATGAAACTGCATTAAACAATTAAATTATTCCATCGATTCAAAAAAGAAAATATTTGCAAGATCATGATAACTGCTACGAGTAAACTTGAACACTTTCAAAAGATATATTGAAGTTAGTCACAAAACAGACTGTCAGCATTTTAAAAGTAAATCCAACTTTTCAGTAGACACTTTTCTTATCCAAACAGCAACATATCGCGAAAACAAACTTCTGCAGAAATAATCGGATCTGATTCAATCATGGAAATCATCAGTGTCGCCCAACCAATTCCACTAAGTCACTGAAATGCAGATAAACTGATTTCACGTATTGCAAAAAGAAAACATTCTACATTTTCACAGCTGCACCGAAAGCAAGTAACCATACACCAAAAGTGCAACATACAATAAAAATTCTTAATCCTCTTTAATGATAAAAACACTACGCCATTTATTTCTATATACGAGTAACACAAGACTAATGAAAAAATCAGCCAAAAGTATCATTGTTTTCTAATTACCAGGGAATTTAGAGAAAATATACAATGATCAAATGACAACAGCAATACTAATCCGTCGATATATATATATAAGCAACACTGTCCAAATGAAAATACAATCGATTACAATATGGTTAAGCAAGCTTGCTTGGCACTCGCACTATTGTTTCTGGCGACAGTTGTTGGCTACCCACGTGAGTTAACAAAATATTCAAGAAAAAATATGTTTCCCTAACACCAAGTATCATTTTAGACGGCAGCGACAAACACAGCAATGAGCGCGGAACATTTCCCGATTCCAGTTATCAAAGAGAACAACCGCATAAAACAGAGTAAGTTCATTGTACACTCAGCTCAATAGAAATTAGTCCAATCCATACCTCATCGATCGCAATGGAGCCACTCAGAAACGATCAGTATCACATGTACACCCGAAAGGTACTACATTTGCTAATTTCTGTCGAACCAGTCTGCAATCGACCTAATGAGCATCAATCAGGACAAACGATTGCGATGGCGCACATACTTAAAAACCCACCAAAAACCTTATCTAATTTTCCTCTCTCTAGACACACTGGACACGGAAAACATCCCAACCACAAGGATGAATTGAGACCGCCACAACTCAACGCCTGCAAAGAACCCCCAACAGAAACTGACACAAACGAGTAAGAATACACCAACCGTTCACACTTACGCAGTAAACATATAATTCAATGCTCTCATATTCTAAACAGACTGACCGAAACAGAAACTTCCCACGAATCAGCGGAGAAAGATGGTGACAACCATAGCGGTTCAAATGAAAAACCTGAAAAAGATGGTGAAAGCAATGGTGCTTCCGATGAAAAACCTGAAAAAGATGGTGAAAGCAACGGTGCCTCAGAGGAGAAACCTGAAAAAGATGGTGAAAGCAACGGTGCCTCCGAAGAAAAACCTGAAAAAGATGGTGAAAGCAACGGTGCCTCCGAAGAAAAACCTGAAAAAGATGGTGAAAGCAATGGTGCTTCCGATGAAAAACCTGAAAAAGATGGTGAAAGCAACGGTGCCTCAGAGGAGAAGCCTGAAAAAGATGGTGAAAGCAACGGTGCCTCCGAAGAAAAACCTGAAAAAGATGGTGAAAGCAACGGTGCCTCCGAAGAAAAACCTGAAAAAGATGGTGAAAGCAACGGTGCCTC